ACCCAGATTCAGCAGATTTAAATTGAGGAAGGATTCAAATTGGGAGGAGATTCGAATCAGGGGGGTAAAAAAACCCCCTGGATCTTTAACGTTTGTCTAGTTTTGCAGGAAATATCTTCTCATAATCTTGTTCAGAGCTTCGAAGCTTAGCTTCGAACTGGATCCAGGGTTCCCAGATCGAAGGATGACATATCCAGATCGAACACCCCCAAAGTGCAGCCCCTCATGCACCTTCGATCAAGCCTCTTCACTGGGTCGAAAGACAGCCCACACCTCTTTCGACTCAGGCCTCCAGAATTATATCTTTCTTGATTTACTGCCTGTTCCTTCGATTTCATCTTTATTTTGACTATTTTATTCCTTTTTTTAATCAACATAAAATCAATTAAAAAAAACCACAAAAACATTAGGCTAGTTTTTTCTATTAAATTAACTTTGTTAATTAATCATTTAATTATCTTAACATTTTCTCAAAACTAAAATTAAGTAGATTTAGATCATTTTCCCAAAATAAAATAAAACAACAAAAAGATTTTATTCTTAGGATTTTTAGAGGTTATGTTCAGATTCGTGCGCGTTTATTTTATTATAACTGCTACTGGTTTGTAATAGCTTAACTAAGACTTTTACACTTTACTGCTTTATTCCCACAATTTTGGACATGTAAATAATCCCCCTCCCCGAAGCCTTGTAATAGTGTAGGATTTACAATTCCCGCACTTTAAATTCCTATACATATATTAACTGTTTAGATGTATGCTAACTAGGATTGCATGACAAGATTAACCTTTAATTTAAAATCAACCGTAGCTCACCATAACATGTACAAAAATAATATAAACTGAAAATTGACACACTCGTACATGCCACTCTTAGGGTACGCCTCACTTGGTTGCCTCGAATGTGGTCATTGAGTATAGGAAGTTTTAGAGGTCGTCCTTTTGTCCAAAGATCATAAGTTGCCTCGAAATGGTTGCCTCAGAAAAATGATCTAAGACATTAGGGTTACCGCTAAGGCGTCATAACATTGCTTTAGTGGCCACACGTCCCTTAAATCGAATTGACCCGAAAACTCCAACGACGGTGCTACCTACTCCTCAATAGTGGGATAGCATTGTCTAAAGGACATTTGCACAATTTAATTCCTTTTTGAGTAGGTAGATGTTCTTAAGTACTTGCTCTTTTGAAAACAAAAACAAAACTTTTCGCACTTACACTCTCTTTCAAACAAAAACTCTTTTCAAACCCACAATCACAAAGAAAAGCAAATTTTTGAAAACATAGTGAGCAAGTACCTAAGAGACCGTGGATAACCACGGATAGAAAGGGTGCTAACACCTTCCCTTTCTATAATCTACCTCCCGAACCCGAGAAACATCTCCAAAAGGAATTTTTCGGTGCTTTTGTCCTTTCCTTGTTGGATAAAATAAAAGACGGTGGCGACTCTTGCCTACCGCGACATTTTGCGAAAACAAACGCAAACGCGAACCAGCATTCCAAAAACAGTCAGTTCTCATTCCCACCGATCACAGCCTCCAAAGCCCACGTGGCCTCCAGGCTTAAGTTCCAGGCTTTGGAACATATGCCTTCTTCCCGTCATGTTTCGTGAGCAGCCAGAGTCCAGGTACCATGATTGGTGTCTTTGCTTTGCTGCTAAAGATATCTGCCACATGTATGATTTTATCCTTAGGTAGCCACATTTTCTTGGGTCCTGATTTGTTAGTTTTACCAAAATTCTGATTGAATTTTGGTTTGACAGAATAATCATTACTCGTGTATTTTATGTCATGTGTGTGCCCATATATAAAGTGTGAATCAAGTGGAGTGCGTTTTATAACTAAGTCCATGACATTTTTTGGTGTAGGTACCTTACCTTGATATCTTATCCATTTTCTGTCATTTCTGCTAACTCCATAGATCATTGAAGCCATCTTGCTTCTGTCTATGTTTTTAGCTAGAAACTTTTGAAAGTTGTGATCATACTATTTGATGATCTCATCAGCATTACTGGGAGTTTCAGAGACTGTTTCCTTCTGAGAGTTTTACAACTGGTTTTCAAATTTTGAAATTTTTACTTTTAACTCAGAATTCTCCAATCTGAGACTCTCAGTCTTATCAGAGTCAGAGGCAAGATTCCTTTTCAGGTTTCTGAATTTGACTCTGATCTGCTGATACCTTTCCAGAATTTCATTAAGGCTTTCAGCAAGTTCAGCCTTAGTAAAGTTTATAGTAAAGTCAGGGAATACCTCTTCAGTGTCTGATTCTGAGTCTGAACTAGAAGCTTCACTGTCTTCTGATACGTTTGCCATGAGAGCTATGTTTTCTCTTTTATCATTTGATTCTGAGTCAGCTTCAGATGTGTCAGAATCATCCCATGTAGCCATGAGGCTTTCTTATTTTCCTTGATAAACTTCTTTTTGGGCTTCTCCTTCTGAAGCTTTGGGCAGTCACTTTTGTAGCGCCCTTTCTCGTTACATTCATAGCAGATGATGTCTTTGTTTGGCTTTCTGTATCCTGAAGAACCTTAAGATCTTCTGTGTCCAGAGGAGGATTCTGACCTTCTGTATCTGGAGGAAGATTCATTCTGATTTTGTGATCTTCTGAGATTCCTGAACTTTCTTTGCCTCTGCTTCCACAGTTGGTTCACCCTTCTGGAGAGGAGAGACAGTTCATCTTCTTCTGATGAGGATCCATCAGAGGTTTCTTCTACAGCCTGCAAAACTTTGGAGTCAGATTTTCTGTTAGATTTTAAAGCTAATGGCTTACCTTGCTTTTGAGGTTCGTCTTCTTCTAGCTCTATCTCGTGACTTCTGAGGGAGCTGACAAGTTCCTCCAGAGAGATTTTTGTTGAGATCTTTGGCTAGCTTAAGAGTTGTGACCATTGGCCTCCATTGTTTTGGCAAGCTTCTGATGATCTTCTTAACGTGATCAGTAGTAGAATACCCTTTGTCAAGAATTTTTAGACCAGCAACAAGTATTTGAAATCTTGAAAACATAATTTCTATTGATTCACTATCTTCCATCTTGAATGCCTCATACTTCTGAATGAGTGCATGGGTTTTGGTTTCTTTGACTTGAATGTTGCCTTCATGCGTCATTCTCAGAGAATCAAACATGTACTTGGCAGTTTCTCTGTTTGATATTTTCTCATATTCTGAATATGAGATGGCGCTGAGGAGAATTGTTCTGGCCTTGTGGTGGTTTCTGAATTCACGCTTTTGCTGATCAGACATCATTTTCCTGTCTATCTCCTGACCACTTCCATCCACTGGATGCGTGTATCCATCAGTCACCATGTCTCACAGATCAGCATCATGGGCCAGAAAGAAACTCTCAATTCTGTCTTTCCAGTAGTCAAAGTTCTCTCCATCAAAGACTGGAGGTTTGCCACTGAATTTGTCCCTTTCTTCATTGTTGTCATTGCTGATGTTTTGGCTTGGTCCCACCATAGTGTTTTTCTGAAGCTTGGATCTTGTACTGACACGGTTAAGTGTTTAAGCTCAGAACCAGGCGCTCTGATACCAATTGAAGATGTGAAAAACACAAGAAGGGGGGTTGAATTGAAAAACTTGGATCTAAAACAGCTTAATGACACAGTATTTTTATCCTGGTTCGTTTGATCTCAAACTACTCCAGTCCACCGGTCAAGGTGATTTCGCCTCTCTCCAACGAGGTCTTAATCCACTAATCTCAAAAGATTACAATAGCTACTTTAACAACTGTTAAAGTCTTCTTGAGTACAACCACAATCCGGTTAATCTCAAGGAATTCTTTTACAATATAATTGAACAAGAATGTGTTGTTGTTTTCTAACAAAACAGTTTATCACAACTGTGATAAATTACACGGGTTAAGCTTAGAATATAGAATGAATTTGCTTGAGCTTGATTATGCGTGGTTGGAGTTCTTAGCAAATTGTTGTGTGCGTACGTACGTGCTTCTTTTTGCAAGTAGACTTGTTTATATAGACAATACAATGACGTTGTCCATAAAGCAAGTTTAATGTTAATAACACCTTTTCCTTTTGGAGAAGATCTTGTCTGAAGAAAACCGTTGGCATTAATTCTGTCTTGAATGTTCAGTAACGCTTCAGAGTCTTCTTTCCTTTACTGCTGATGACGCTTCAGAATATTGATGACTTGGTTGATATGTCTTTGATCAGAATCAGAGTTTGTTGTAATTTAGCGCAAATTCTTATCACCAATCTTTAGCGTATAATCTGATTGCTTCAGCGTGTTATACTTTATAGCTTATCTTCTGATGTTGAAGCCATCAGAACTTCTGCATACATAAAACATATTTTTAAAGTGCATATTTGTTCTTTGTATTTATTTATTCTTTGTATTTGTTATCATCAAAACTCTAACCAAGGGTTGTAGAATCAAACTATGTTCTAACAATTCTGCCTCCAAACTTTATCTTCCATTCTTATTGTGGTGTTGTATCACTGTCCCTAAAGGTTTAGATTTTAAAGATGCTAAAATACTATATTGAAAAAACTTGGTTTGAATATTAATGTTAAATTCTACTTTATCAAGTAAACGGTATGCTTGAACCTTGACATTGATCTTTAATGTTCAAATTTTCAAGATAGTAAAAATGAATGAAAATATTGCAAAATAAAAAAATCTTAAAAATGAATAAAAAACTAAACTGTATGCGGTGAGATTTGAAACGTGTCTTTCAGAAGGACATTTTCTAGTGGTTTGAAAGTCTGATGTTGGTGAAATGTTATTTGATTTTAGTTATAAAAGAAAATAAACATCCAACATTTCACCATGATTGTTCTGACTAATCAAAGTGAAATTTGTCTTGAAAATTAAGAAAAAAAAAAGAAAAGCGAATTAATGAATATATTTTACCACAATGGACATTATGTTTGAGATGAACGTTCGTTACAAAATCTACATTTTATGGTAGTAACTTTAAAAATAAAAAAATAAAACTAGAAGATTCTTCAACCAAAATAGATTTTATTTTTATATATCCATCCATATATCCTAATTTCCTTCTTCTACACCATCATTTTCTTCACCCTTACAAGGTCCATAAGCCTTACTCAAATAAACATAGCCCATAAAATTAACCAACATGAGTCCAAAAACAATCCAATAATAGTAATCATAATGTCCCTTATTTATGTTACTAGAAACCCAACTTTCCTTTCCCTCACCTTTAGTAACACTTTCAACAACACTCAAAATCAAACTAGCCAAAACACTTGCACATGACAAACCTAAACCAGAAAGTGTGGATGCAATACTAGACATAGATTGAGGTAACTCACATATATAAAACTCATTTTGTCCAACACCATTAAAAGCTTCAGCAAAACCATCAAAAATTTGTCTTGGTAATAGCCACATTACTGACATTTTCACAACACCTTGTGGAAAATCTGTGAACCCTTCATCTATTGCCATTTTTCTTCTTTTGCTTTCAACAATTGCCAATGAAGATGCTGATAAACATGTTGCTATTAGTCCAATTCCCATTTTTTGTTTTACTCGTAAACGTGTGGGCGAACGTCTTAGTTTTGAAGCAGAAGGGACTATAACACGGTCATAGAGGATGAGCATAAATACTGAGGAGAGAACCAAGAATGTTGACATTGAAGCTGCAGGGATTTCGAAGTTTGAAGTTATGCGACGGTTCATGATGGATGCTTCTAATACAGAAAATGTTCCTTGACTAAAATTTATAGACATTATCATTCCTGTTATCCAAATTGGAATGATCTTTATCATTGATTTGAATGCTTCTACTTGATCTATTGTGCAAAGGCTCCATTGGTTTTTGAGTCTTCCATCTTGTGTAAGATCTTGTTGTTGATTTTGTCTAAGGCATGCTTTGTTCAAAAACCTTGCAAATCAAATCCAACAAACACTAAGGCCAGTTAATTATCAGCACACTCAAAATACTACAACATCGGACACTTGAATGGTTGTAAATTCGATACCTTAGTTTATTGCTCGGCATAAGCATTTCCGAATCCTTCTCATAATAGGACACGCCATCATTCGAGATAATTGGCGATGGTAAGTCGAGGTTTCTGTTTCTGTAAGACGCGACAACAACTCGAGCACATTCAGTAATCACATTACCTTTAGGTTCCACCTTAACATAGAGTGAAGAAGCTAAAAAGAAAGATAGCATGGATATAAACATAAGAACAACAGGAACACCAAATCCAACAATCCACCCAAAATTTTCTTGAATATAAGCCAAAACAGTCATTCCAAATAAGACTGCAACTCCTGTTAAAGCAAAGCTCCAATTAAAGTATCTCTCTACAATCCCTTCATCTCTTTCTTTCTTGTTTAGTTGGTCAACCCCAAAGGCTAAGGAAGAGGCTCTTACACCACCAGCTCCAATGGACATTAGGCATAGAGAAAAGTATAAGAATGCAAGTTGTGATGTTGTTGGTGAGTTGCAGATCATAGTTAATTGATCACATGGACTTAGGTTTGGTATTATAGCAGTTAGCCAAAAAAGTAGCATCCCCTACAGTGTGACACATGGTATACAATATATCAATAACCAAGATTTTAAAATACAGCCTAGACAAAACAGTATCAGAAAGTGCAGATACCGATATCTTTATTCAGATAAAAAGCCTAGACAAAACAGTATCAGACAGTGCAGATACCGATATCTTTATTCAGATAAACAGCCTAGACAAAACAGTATCAGAAAGTGCCCGATATCTTTATTCAGATAAACAAAAATCTAAGGTAAATACACACTGCGACGACTGCAATCAGTATCAAAGTAAGAACTTACTAGTGAAGTGAGAAAAGATCCAAAGGCAATGACAGTGAAACGACCAAAGTAAGAATCAGCAAGAAAAGCACCAAGAACGGGTGTGAAATAAGAAGCTGCTGACCATAGGAGGATGATATTAGTAGCTTTAGCAGCATGCATGCCATAATGTCTAGTAAAATAGAGAACCATGTTTAGCATTATTCCATAGCTAGACATTTTCTCAAACGCCTGGTTTGCTGCATAGCCAAAAGGAATTAATCAAAGCATTGCATAATTCATAAACTTGTTGTAGAAAATGAATAGTGTTGCATGCATACCTATGATGAAGGGTAAGGTTCTGAAACCACCCTTTGTCTTTGTAATGGAAATCAGGGGCTCATTTTGTTGCACTGTGTTTTCCATTTTAGAAGAAAGTTGCAAAGAGAGAATGAGAGTTAGAAGTTTGAAATAAGTAAGATGGGTTTTGTGACAGACACGAAGTCGTTTGTTTGTCGATGTCTTATCAACAGTGAGCCACGCGATGTCTTAAAAGTGGAATTTATTTTAGATTAATGTCTTTTAATTTTATTAATTTTTTTATAATAAATAAAGACCAATACTCTTTTCATTATAAAGTCATTCGTTTAGAATAAAATAATTTCTAATCTTAATGACTCATTTTAATTTTTAATATATTTTTTTTAATTCTATATTTTAACTAATTAAACTTTAATTATTTTTTAATATATAATTAAGATATTATAGTAAAAATATGCTCTCTTTTATTTTTTTACATTTTTTTAAATAATAAACTGAATAACTTATCGTGAGATAGAAGGAATATATATAAAGTCAAACTAAATAATATAAAAAAAAAAAACTAAAGCAGAGCAAATTCAACAAACATTAATAACCTAATAAATAAGCAATTAATATCAGTTCAGAAATTCAATTAATATCAGTTCAGAATTCAATTAATAGAAAGTAAATTAGGCTACCCTTATAAAGTTGGGGAAAATTCAATTAATAAAAATAATAAAAATATTAGTCTTACTTTAATTAATTATATTTTTTTAGTTCATTGTTACTTTACTTGCCTTATTCATTTGGGTTTTTAAACTATTTTTTTAATAAAATTGATTCATAGAATAAAAAAAAATTAATTATTAATTCGTTCATATTAAATTTGATATATAAATTACAATTCGATCCTCCACAATAAAAATGAAGAGAGTTAAAAAAATTTAATATTAGAACTGATTTTTAAACTAGATTAAACAGCTAGTAGACTAGATACTAAGAGCATCTTCAATGGTGCAACCTATTATTTGGTTCTTTGTGGGATCCATTGATCCACATCATCTTGAAGCAACTCACTTCAATTTTCACTCTAATGGTGTAATTCTAAAGAACTCATATTGGGTCCTACAATTTTACTTTGTATATTAATATTTTATTCATACTAAATTTTATTTGATTTAAAATAATAACCTAAATTATTTAAATTAAATTAATATAAAATAAATAAAATTAAACATAAAATATTAAAATAATAATTAAAATTAATCTCAAATACATGACATATAATTAAAAATAATAAAAATAATAAAAATATAATTAAAAACAATAAAAATAAGTTACATAACAAAATTACTCAAATTTAATTTCCATCGTCCTCATGTCCAAAACGTTCCCAAATATACTCGACTAGATCTCCTTGAAGTTTGCGATGAACTTGTTTTTCACGAAGAGTTGCTCTTCTTTGTAGTCTTGTTGCAAGATTCGGATGAGGACCGTTAAATGTTTCAGTCGTTGAGTTGTTGTTACCTGCATTATCGTAAGAGTAATCAAAATCACCTCCATATGTATGTCGTTCGTCTTCGACAATCATGTTGTGCAATATGATGCAAGCATATATGGTATGCTTGAGGGTTTCCATGTGCCAAGCACGCGCTGGACCACGTATTATTGCAAAACGAGATTGAAGCACTCCAAATGCCCGTTCCACATCCTTTCTAGCTGATTCTTGGTGTTGTGCAAATAGTTTTCTCTTTTCTCCTTGTGGCATCGAAATGGTTTTGACAAATGTAGCCCACTCAGGATATATACCATCCGCTAAATAATACCCCATATTATATGGAGTTCCATTGATTGTATATTGCACACTAGCAGCACGTCCTTCCAAAATATCATTACACACATTGGATTGGTTTAACACATTAATGTCATTGTTTGAACCTGCAACACCAAAAAATGCATGCCAAATCCACAGGTCTTGCGATGCCACTGCTTCAAGCATGATCGTGGGTTTATCATGATCACCTCGACAAAATTGTCCTTTCCATGCAACAGGATAATTCTTCCATTCCCAATGCATACAATCAATGGAACCTAGCATGCCTGGGAATCCACGCGACTCCCCCATTTGTAAAAGATGTTCAACATCATTGTTATTAGGCCTTCGCAAATACTCGGCCCCAAATACCTCATTCACGCCCCTTACGAATCTCTCTAAGCACTCAATTGCAGTGCTTTCACCAATTCGAACATATTCGTCTACAATGTCAGCAGAAGATCCATATACTAACATTCGAATAGCAGAAGTGCACTTCTGCAATGGTGAAAGACCCATTTTACCAATTGCATCGACCCTCATTTGAAAATATTCATCATGATTTCCAAGGGTTTCTACAATTCGAAGAAATAAATGCCTATGCATTCTAAACCTTCTACGAAATTGGGAATCTGTGTATACTGGATTTTCTGAGAAGTAGTCGTTGACTAATCGTATATGCCCTTCTTCGCGATTCCGATTTATCACTGATCTTCTTTTTTTCCTTGATGAACTTCCAGATTGACGTTCCTTCTCGAGCATTGACAACAATAGTTCTTCATCTGTGTTGTCCATTAGTTCTTCTTCAATCACCTCCCAAAAAAGTTTGTTGAGGTTGTTTGAAGTGTTTGAATCCATTGAAGTGAGGAAATGGTGATATAAAAATGATAAAAGAATGAGAGAAGGATGGTAGGAAAATGATTGAAGAATGAGAGAGGGTGATAGAAAAGTGATTAAAGAATGAAGGTATATATAAGGCTAGTTTGAATAATATTTAATTTGAATAACGGCTAGTTTGAATAATATTTAATTTGAATAACGGCTAGTTTGAATAATATTTAATTTGAATAACGGCTAGTTTGAATAACGGCTAGTTTGAATAATATTTAATTTGAATAACGGCTAGTTTGAATAATATTTAATTTGAATAACGGCTAGTTTGAATAATATTTGAAATAAAATAAATACTAAAATGTTGCATCTTATTACAATAGTTGATACATAACAAGTACTACATAATATTTAAATATAATAAATACTAGAACATTGCATATTATTACCATCCATATTTTTCTTTTAGGTTATTACACTGTTTTTCATGAAATTCACGCTGACTATCATTCATCTTAGAAGTGTCTGACATTATGAATTGCATTGCTTCAAACTCCATCTTTTCCTTTATTAATTTGTTTTCTTCCTCCTTAAGTCGTGCTTCAGACTCCATCTTTTCCTTGACCAATTTGTTTTCTTCCTCCTTAAGCCGTGCTAGATTTTCCATTAAATTCATTCTTTTAGTCATTGTATCAGAATTAACACTAGAAGGAGGTTCAGTTGCATTTATATTTTCCTTTGCCTTACCTTTTCGTTTTGCCGCCTTTTGTCCCATAGGACGCTCCATTGGAGATGATGAGTTAAACTCATAACTTGAAGGTGTCTCTGAGTTTGGCGATGCCGTGTATGCACCACTAGTAGAATTCTTTGATCTCTTTGAAGAATTTTCAGTGGATGCTCCCATCCATTTAGGTTCATCTTTTAAAAGCCTCCATGCATACTCAAGATTGAATGGTGCACCTTCATCTTGTTCAAAAAAAGCATGTGCATTGACTAAGATATCTTTCTCTGATGCCCCACTTTTTTTCCATGAACAGCTTGTTTGTAACACCCAACAAATTTTTGAACAAGGCTATTTATTCGATGCCATCGAGATTTTAATTGGCCTTGTAGCTTTTCTCGTGACTGTCCACGATATTGGTTATAATTATCGGTGATTCTTAACCAAAAGCTATCGACTTTTTGATCAACTCCCACAATTGGATCCTTTGAAACATTGAGCCATGATTGCATAAGAAGTGTATCTTCTTTCCTTGTGAATACCTCTCGAGGTTTTCTTTTAACTGGACGCCTTTGTTCTTTATCAATTGTATTATTTTCAATACCAACTTGAGTTGAAAATTGTGGAACTTGGCGTTCGGACATAAACCCATTTGGTGTTTCGGGTTCATGATGAGAAAAATTCATCCCATGAGTATTTATTTGTGGTCTAAAATACATATTTGGGTTGTTTGGTGACGAAAAAAATACGGTAGAATTTGTTGGTGGTGGGGGAAATTGAGAATTTTGAGGATTAGAATTTTGCTGATTTTGTATGAGATGGAACATAGATTGTTGAAAATTATATTGGTTAGGGTCCATTTGACCTTAACAATAATAATTTGAACAAATAAAATAAAAAATTTGATAAAATATATGATCAATTGAAGGCTAATAAGATGATAAAATTGTGTGAGAGAAATAAATTTATGAGATACAATTTGAAAAATATTGGGTTCTATTTATAACCAAACAAAATATTTATAAAAAAAAACAAAAAAGTAAAAGTAAAAGAGCCGTTAAACAACAGCTATATTTTTAATATTATTTTAATATATTGTACCGTTGCATTACAATTTACTTGCAGCATGCGTGGCGAACCGTGTTTGTTAAAAAAATTGGACAGTTGACGGACGAGACGCTATTTGCTTGGCGTTGGAGATGGTCTAATAGTGTGAAAACTAAAACTAAAAAGTAAAAAGAGCAATAGTTGAATATGTTAAATATATTATTCTATTTATTAGAAACTTCAAAAATACAAATAAGAAGTAAATCTCACATATCATAATCAACAAAATATATATATATATATATATATATATATATATATATATATATATATATATATATATATATATATATATAAAATAATTTGTTTATATATGTATTGTCTTCTTCAAAAATATTAGATATCTTAAATTTAAAAGAGTATAGTGTATAAGTATTCTTCATTTAATTAAAAGATATAAAGAAAAATACTTACATTAAAAAATGCACAGCTTTGAATAAAATTTCAAGCTAAAAATTTCTTTAAGATTTATATCTTATAATTTTATCATTTAATGCCACTCTTGTTTTAAAATAAATATTATTCTCACTTTAATTAACTGTCTTTTTTTAATTATGTTATTTAAATAATGTTATATAAATTATTTTTAAATTATTTTATTTTATTTTCATTAAAGTGAAAAGTTCAATTGTAGTTGATAAAATTAATTTGTTAAACATGTGATATTTTTCGACAATTTTGTTATATGTTAAATATGTAATAAAATTAGAAGATTTTGACTATTTTTTATTTATTTTTGGTTTTAGAAAATTTTGAGAATTTTTTTTAGTAATGATCAAGTATTAAAAAAAATACACAAATAACTATATTTCGGAGAAAATTATGCAAATAATCATGTTTTAGAAAATCCTACAATGGAAGCGTCAAGTGAGATGGCGTATGCACCTAAATTTTAGAAGGAGGCGTCAAGTGAGATGGCGCCTAGGTGCAACATGTTTGCCCTAAGCCATCTCAGATGGCGCCTAAGTGCATTTAAAGGACAGTTTTTTTTTCTTTCTATTTTAAATACGAGACAATAAGTAAACGATATAGCTTCACGAAACTTCGAATTTTCATTAACAAAAAACGATTACATAATGGAAAAAAACCATGCATATTAATTAGCGGTCCCCCGGAAATCGGTAACAACCTGTGGTTCCGCATTCGCGTCCTCGCCTATCTCGTGGTGGGTTTCGTTGATTTTCCTGTTGTGGTTGGATCGTTGATCCAGCGAAGTCAATGTGTTCAGGATCCATGAAATCAGTCAGATCACCATATCTGGAAGATCCGCTTTGGTACAGTCGGTTACCCATACCCTCAAAGATTGGTCGTCTTGGTGGAGGGTGGGGTTCCATGGATGGTCTATAGCATTGGTTGTCTAAGTAAGTGGGGTAAAAAGGAAATGAATCTTGGGGTGTTTGGTATTGCGACTGTTGGGTGCTATGGTGATGTGGTGGTTGATGGTAAGTTGGGTCGGTTGGGTCATATTCTTCGGGAAAGCCTAGATATGGGCTAAGGTGAGATGATGAGGGGCCCACATCGGGATATGGAGAAGACTAGAATTGTGTGTGGGGCATGTGGGTGTATTGGTATTGCGATTGATATTGGGGTTGGGTGTAGGAAATATGGGGGTATTGATATTGAGGTGGTGATTGGGGTTGGGTGGTTGTGGGTGATTGGGATAATGCTAAACTTTGTCGATTTTAAGGTAGATCGGGTAACTCTAGAAAGGTACAAGCTCAGGTGTGTTCACCCAGATTGTATGTTTAGGCTCACTGCATCATACAGGTTAAGAGGTGATTGTTAGTTGATAGATTCTATGTCCACCCATACGTGTGTCAATTCTACTCAATCACATGATCATTGTAAACTAAATTATGATCTCATATGTCAAGAAATCCTACCTCTCGTCAGCAATGATCTATCATTGAAGGTGAAAATCATAATCTCTCACATCACTACGATATACAACTATACTCCGTCATACCGAAAGGCGTGGTTAGCCAAGACCAAGGCGATTGAAAAGTTATATGGGAACTGGGAGGAGTCATACAAAGAACTTTCGCGCTACATGCATGCACTTCAAACGTATTCTCCAGGAACTATTTACGTTATGGAAACATTGTCGGCGTACGCCCCAGATGGTGCTCATGTCACCGGAAATGGAATATCCAGTTGACTGTTCTGGGATTTTCAACCTTGCATCACAGGCTTTGCATCATGCAAACCTATTATTCAAATTGATGGAACGTGGTTGTACGAGAAATACAAAGGCACGCTACTGATGGCAGTTGCACAAGATGGCAACAACAATTTTCCCAATTGCCTTTGCTCTAGTCGAGGGAGAGACTGGTGGTTCTTGGAGTTTATTTCTCAGGAATCTCCAAACACATGTGGCTCCTCAACCTGATCTCTTTGATCTCCGACAAACATGCATCTATTGAGAGTGCATACAATAATCCTACAAATGGTTGGCATGACTCTCCTTTTACGCATGTCTACTGCATTAGACATATCGTACAAAATTTCACGAGGGATATCAAAGACAAGGCTCTTAGGAAAACAGTTATAAACGCGCGGTATGCATTAACACAACATACATTCAAACACTATCGCAACAAGATCAGATTGTCAAATCCGGATGCAGGTAGGTGGATTGATAATATTTTAGTGGAGAAATGGACAAGGTCATACGATAATGGATAACGATGGGGCCACATGACAACAAATCTTATCGAATCCATAAATGGTGTATTCAAAGGCATACGAAACCTCTCAGTAACCACTTTGGTGAAATCAACATATTTTAGGATGGCTTCGTTGTTTTCCAAAAGAGGTGAAATATGGAATGCGGTCTTACAATCGGGACAACTATGGAGTTAAAGTTGCATGAAGTATATTAAGGAAGAAAGTGCCAAAGCCAACACCCATCTTGTTATAAGGTTCGACCGACATAGCCATAAATTCATTTTCAAAGAGACAATCGACCACAACGAGGGGCTGCCAAGACAAGAGTATAGGGTTATACTACCATTTTGTTGGTGTGATTGTGGAAAGTTTCAAGCCTTTCATATGCCTTGCTCTCATGTCATTGTGGCATGTGCGTATACTCATCAAGACGCATTACAATTTCTATCTCCCATTTACAAGTCTGAAACCTTGCTCGACGTATACAACAATGGCATCCCAATGGTAGCGAAACCTGATTATTGGCCTGCATACGAAGGGAAAATAGTATGGCACATCGATCAAATGCGAAGGAATAAAAAAGGTCATCCCAAAAGCAAGTGTATCACAACTGAAATGGACTCCCTTGACAAGCTCGAAAGAAAATGTGGTTTATGTCGTCAGGTCGGACATGATTGAAAAAATTGTCCCACTCGGGCTACAAGCTCGACAACATAAAAATTGTATGTAAACCAGCTGCACTTTTTTAACTTCTAAACATTATTGTTTTTCATTAAGAGCATTTGTTACAACAAACCATACACAAACAACAAATAAAAACACGATAAAACGTCTAAGAAATTAAAATCATCAAAAAAATTTCATCTGAGTCATGCATCATCACCATTACGTCTTTGTCTGTTTTGACTTCCTCCAACCAAGATTGAGTTATTCCAGTTGCATGTGACGTGGTTGTTCTTCTTCTCTGGATCCTTCTAATTTTTCCCCAACCTCGATGTCTCCCTCTAACCATCGCATCAACTCTCTCTTTAGACGCTCCATGGAGTGATTGTGCCAAAATTTCATTTTCATCGGAGGTTTGACGGTCGAGAAAATAATGTATCTATCTCTGGTGAAAATCATGGGAGATGTCATGACGCAAATAACAGAGAAAAAATAATAAGACAGTGTGAGAAATTGTGAAGAATGATGGAGAAATGATTATTTTATTTATAGAAAATACAATTGCATGTAGTAGCCATCTCAGATGGCGCCTCCTCTCCTTTTTATAGAGCATGCGCCATCTCACTTGGCCAAAACAAAGTGCATGCGCTAAGTGAGATGGCGCCTAGGATAAAAAGGGGAGTGCATGCGCCATCTCACTTGGAGCCTCCATTGTGGGGTTTTCTGAAACATGGTTATTTGTGTAA